CCCCCCACCCCCCGCCCACGACTGCATTCCTCCCCAGAGCTGTGCAGGGCTCTGAAGAGGGAGGCAGAAGGAGCAGGTGTCTCCTACCCCTTGTCCCGGTCAGAAATCAGTGGGGGCGCCCTTGCAGAAGGGGGCGCCCCCACCTGCCATCCAGCTCCCAGGCTCCTGGGATTAGGCGGGAGGTTGGGTAGCTCCTGGCATTTGGGTGTTTGATCCCTGGGCTGTTGCAGGGTCTCACGGGAAGCGGAGGGGCATGCTGGCAGCCCCTTTCCATTTGGGGGCCGGTGCCCCCCTGTGTTTAATCCCACAAGTTAAAGGGAGCAAGTTCTGGAAGCAGACAGAGCTCAGGCAAGGGCCCGGGGGAGACGGGGGTTGTGGTGAAGCACCATCTATAGTTGTATTTGTAAGAGTAGGGCCAATCTACAACTCCCATCAGGCATTACAACACTTCCTTTGCCCCTCCCCTCCAGCCAGAACCCTTCCTGGGCTTGGGAAGGAATGTAGGCCCTCCTGTCGTTGCCCTCTTTCCACGGTCTCTCCGGCTGCAAAATTGTCCCCCAGAGCCAGCGTGGCCGGCTCTCGCAGTATGTAGTGTATGGAGAAAATCCCCAGCTCCAGGAGTCAGGGGACTAGGGGAGTTGATTAAAAACAACCACCCAAACGTCTTGCCTTGACCATCTGGAGGAGAAGCTGAGAAAGCGACCCCGCCGCAGCCTAACGGCTCCGAAACCGCCGGCCAAGAAAAGAGCCGGACGTTTGTTTAGTTGGGGTTGTGATGCACTCCTGTGTTCCCCGCACCCGAGGCCCAGGGCTTCGTGGGGCCTGCCTCCTCCTGGGGAAGGAGGCCCATTTTGCTCCATCTCCTCTCCAGACTGCCAGGATTGCTTTGGCCAGGACAAGCCAGTGGAGCTGGGCAACCCGGGTGTCCTTGTGTGTCTTCTCCCAGGGCAGCCAGGCTGGGAGCCTCCTCCAGGGAGAGCCCATGTAGGGGAGCGGCCTAGTGCACTATCTTGTGCAAAGCCCCATGTGGGGGAGCGGCCTAGTGCACTTTCTTGTGCAAAGCCCCATGTGGGGGAGCGGCCTAGTGCACTTTTTGGTGCAAAACCCCATGTGGGGGAGTGACCTACTGCACTTTCTGTGCAAAGCCCCATGCGGGGGATCGGCCTAGTGCACTTTCTTGTGCAAAGCCCCATGTGGGGGAATGACCTAGTGCACTTTCTGTGCAAAGCCCCATGCGGGGGATCGGCCTAGTGCACTTTCTTGTGCAAAGCCCCATGTGGGGGAACGGCCTAGTGCACTTTCTTGTGCAAAGCCCCATGTGGGGGAGCGGCCTAGTGCACTTTCTTGTGCAAAGCCCCATGTGGGGGA